CTGCTGAACAGATTCCATATTAATTCATGAGCATCTCCTTCAAGAAATGTGACAGATCCTGAAAAAAACCCAAATTGTGGGGAAATAGTTTTTTAAAAGCATCACAAGATTTGCTTTAAAGCCTTTTTGGCTAAATCTGCTGCTGCTGTGCACCACACTGAAAATTGCTAGCCAGATTGCCTGGAAAATGCTACTAATCCTGAGTACGGGTCTGTGTGAACGGAACAGCTACTCTATAGTTTGGGCAATATTTCTTTAAAATTTGAAAAGGGAGGGCGGTATTCCAGTTTGCTGAGATATGTTGTCAGGATCATAGATTTATTTTTTCCATGGTGCTCTGATTATGCATGTCACACCCTGTTTCAGTGTGAAACATGCAACTCGTAGGAAAATACATTCAAGAAGACCATGACTTAGAAATGTCAAAAGAAATTTCTTCTTGTTTGATAGGTAGTCTGCAAGTTTATATGACTCTCAAAGGTCTGTATGCAAGAAGGTAACCGAGTCTGCAAGAAATCTTTTATTTATTCAGGATTGTTATATTTCAAAGTTTGTCTCTGTGCTGGTTTTGGTTGGGATAGCATCAATTTTCTTCACAGTAGCTCGTATGAGACTATGTTTTGGACTTGTGCTGAAAAGAATGTTGATAACACAGCAATGTTTGTAGGAAGAGACTATGTTTTGCATTTGTGCATTGACAATATACTAATATTTTTAGTTGTTGCCAAGCAATGTTTATATAAAGTGAAGGACACTTTCACTTTCTCATACCGCACCTGTGTTCCCAGCTGCTTCGCTACAGGAAGCTGGGAGGGGACGCAGCCAGGACTGCCGACCCAAACTGACCAAAGGGACACTTTTATGCCATAAAATGTCATGGTCAGTATAAAAGTTGGGGGGAGTGGGCCTGAGGGCTCTCTTGAACACTCACCCTTTCTGGCGCTGTCTCTTGCTGAGGACTGGCATGGTGTCAGTTGACAGGTAGTGAATGGTTATATAATTTTTTTTTTTTCAGATTGCTGTTTTCCTTTTCATTACATATTACTATAATTTTTAGTATTAGTAATATTTCTATTATTATTCTTTTCATTACATATTATTTGCATTATTATCATAATTATTTGATTTATTTTTAATTATTGAACTATTCTTATCTCAACTCAAGACTTCTCTTACCTTTTTCCTCTGATTCTCTCCTTTATCCCACTGAGAGTGGGAGAGTGGAAAGCATGGTGCTTATGTCCTGACTGGGGCTAAACCATGACAACACCATACTGTCTTCTGACAAGTACAGGATCATCACTGGTTGAAAAATCTTCTAGGAAAAAATGTATTTGGTATAGTGGTTTGATGACTAATCAGCATTCTGTCTTGCTCAGCCACAGCCACTCTTAAAGAAGTGATTTATTTATGTGTTCGAAGATGAAATGCAAATCTTCAATAATTGCATTCAACCAGCTGTGTAGTATAAACTTATGAAACCACTCCATTGTACTGTCAGCTAAAATTGACCATCCCATAGATTTATCAGCAGAACACCAAGTAATTACTTTATCACATCTACTGTTTGGGAACATGAAGAGAAGGGCATTTGAAAAGCCCTGGTAGGAGATTAGAAAAAAGATGCATGTCTGACCCAGCAGTGGTGGTGATTTTACTGTTAAATTCACTGATAGCAGAATCGGAACAGAAATCCATATTACGAACGTGACCTATGACCTCTTATAGAGGTGCTTAGATACCACAAAGATAAAAATATAAGGATAGTCAGAAAGAGGATTTAAATGCTTGGATATGTAGATTAAAAAAAAAAAAATCCATCCAATGTCTCTCTGGAAGGTGAAGAGCTGCAAGAGGAAAGAAATTCAGTATAGAAACCTGGTGCCTGAGTTCTGTCTGTTTTGCCAGTTGTGCGTGTTCTATACAAACAGGTTAATGGAACCTAAAAATCTCATTTAAATGTAATTCAATTGCAGTACAAAGTAAGTGAGTCCTTTTCTGCTTTGAACCTTAACTTTTTAGAGTAGGTCTAAAATCAGGGAAGGCATGCTGGAGGTTAAGCATGAAAGAGCTTTTGATACTCAAGTTAAAAGTTTGCATAAATATTTAATTTAATGTGCAAATAAAATCAGGGATTCTTTCTACAGCCAATGTCTCCCCCAGAGGAAAGAGGTAAATTGCTAAAGGAAAAAAAAAATTCAATTGTTATTGGATAGATGAGTGTCTAAAGGTACCACAGTATTTGCAAAAATATCAGATTATGTGAAAGCTGAGAGACATCTATGAGAAGGAAGTTGAGGTGCTTTGCTGCATTCACTTGCTTGATTCTTTGCATTGCTACATAGATAACATCACTGCTGTGGAGAACATACGTATGCCATGGATCTTGTGGGAAACTACCTGTTCCCATTCAGTCTCTAAAGAACTGTGTTTTTTAAAGTTTGTAAGATCATGTTTGCTTTATTATATAAACCCAAAACAAAAAACCAGAAAACTCTCTACCTGGGCAATTTGCTACGTCCCTTGAAAATACTAAGTTATAACAGGATTGTTTTTATGGTTACCTAGGTATCACCATCCAAATTATGAAACACCCTCAATTTTTTGCAGCTGGGTCTTCTCTACTTACCTTAGCTTCTAATATCTCCCTGAAAGTCCCGGAATTCTCTGAAGTAGAAGGATCATGCTGTCAGATCTTAAAGGATCTTAAGGTATAGTAACGTTCAGTGTTAATGACAAATACTGTAATTATGTGTTCTTCTTTATCAGTCGCATTTTCAGGCCTTGGCTTTACTACCTTCTACTTAGCTGGAAAGTTACACTGCTTCACGGAAAATGGCCGGGGGAAGAGCTGGCGGCTGTGTGCAGCAATTCTGCCACTCTACTGTGCCATGATGATTGCCCTGTCACGTATGTGTGATTACAAACATCACTGGCAAGGTGAGCATGGAGATACGTTTTTCCTACTTTTTTTTATTAGCCTTGTATTTCTCGGACTTTCTTTGTGTGTGTGTGTCATTAAATCACATGAGTTAAAACACAGTAGTATGCTATAGATTTTCCTTGCTTCTGGATTGATGCTGAAGATTTCAGTGTCTGAAAATACTGCAGGCTCCCTTTATCATTCTGCGTATTTTATGTACACAATGTACATCATCATATTTACATACAGTTCTACATCAGTGGGTTTTTCACATCATCATTTTTTACAAATGTAATTCAGTTTCATCAGTACTGAGCCCCGGAGAACACCACTTGTGACCGGCCACCAGCTGGATTTAATTCCATTTACCACAACCCTGCGGGCTCAGCCATCCAGTCAGGTTTTTACCCAGCAAGTACATCCATCCAAGCCATGAGCAGCCAGTGTCTCCAGGAGAGTGCTGTGGGAAACGGTGTCAGAGGCTTTAGTAAAGTCCAGGTAGACAACATGCACAGCCTCTCCCTCATCCACTAAGCAGGTCACCTTGTCATAGGGGGACATCAAGTTCATCAGGAGAGAAGGAGATGAGGTTTGTCAGGCAGGACCTGCCTTTCATAACCCCATGCTGATCACCTGGTTGTCCAGTACATACCACGTGATTGCCTTCAAGATGATCTGCTCCACTTGAGGTGATCTGCTCCATTAACCTTGACTTGTTCTTTAAGGAGACTCCTGGTTTCCTGCAGACACCTTTTGTTGTTACAGGGCTCATGACTCTTTGCTCACCAACACTTGGCGTTGCAGAGAGCCTCCATCACAAAGCTGCTGAATGTGAGGTGCTTGCCTCACCAGGCTGGCAGGTGGGACAGATGGCAGTTGTGGATTTCATGCTCAATGTGTGACACTTGGCTGCTTTGAACTCTGTTAAAGGGAGAGAGAGAAGAGTGTGAATGAATGTAAATGGGAGTGCACGTTGGGAGGTTTACTCTCAAGTTTTGAACACATATTTACAGTGTGTACTATCTCTTCCCAAGAGTAAGAATTATTTATGTACTGAAACATGTGCTATGAGGCAGATTATTGTGGTGTATTTTATATATGACCTAGGAAAACTACACCCAAGGGGTTGTGACTGTGTCCAGTACAGCTACTTGTATTTTTGTCTTTGAAGTTTAAGGAGATGAAGCTGAAAACTCAGGTCTTCCCAAGTTAAGAACAGTGCTGACAGACAGTATCCTGCAGGTGATCTATGCTTTTACCTTTAAGAACTGCAATCTCAAGGGAGACACTAGTTCACTCTAATATACAGCATGGAAGATTAGGTCTCGTCCTTTATGCTCAGCAGAGTCAACTCATAAGGTGGCTTTGTGGCAGAGTCTTAGCTATGCTGTGGGGAATGAGCAAGGACCATCAATATAATGCCCAAGTCCTGTTAAAAGACTCTCTGATTCTCACTCCTCTGATGATTACAAGCCATTTATTACCCACTGAAAATTGAACCACATGCCCTCTGTTCTAATATATACTAAACTGACAAACTAGGGCATTTAATCTGTATGTAATTATTTTAGACAAAAATAATTTGTATTGATTTATCCTTCATTTTCATTAAACTCAATGATTCACCATTTTTATTACACTGTGGTTTCTTTGTAAGTGGAAGTAAAATGCAGGCACACAGGCATACACAGATGATAAGGTGCTTAGTCAGTCTTGCTGAAATAAAACGTGGTGTCAGGTCATATTCAAGCCGATGCCTTTTGCCTCAATGCCATTATTGTTTGTGTTTGAATCTGAGGCTTTACAAGTCAGTGTGTATTCTCAGCGAAAGTTTGCTCTGGTGGTTGAAAATGAAACACAAGATCAGGCATGTATATTGGTAAGAGGCAGAGAGAACCTGACAACAGAACGATTCCTTTTCAAGCGCTATGCGGTTCCCATGGAAAACTTAAAATTGCCTCTTGTGCGAGAGCTTCAAATATCTCATATTGTAATTTATCTTATTTTGCTTTCTGGTAGGAGTATGGGATAGTAAAGAGCATCAAAGAAAGATATTCAAAAGATGTTAATTCAGTTAACAGGCATGCTTAGTCTTTGACCTTTCAGGTGTTTTTAGGAAGAATTCACCAACTTGAAATTGTTCTTGACAGCTGTCTTTCTCAGGGGCCTTGCAGGAGCTGCAAGTGAAATGAATTGTTCTAGCTGCCGTGGCCCACTTCCCGAAGGAAGCTAATTTTCTGTTTTGTATCTTACGTGCTCCCTGTCTGTATTGGGGAATGGATTCTGGAGTACACAGCAGTCAAGAGTAGATCTGGCACTCCAGCTGCTGTCTTTCCTGGGCTACCTGGGCAGAGGCAAGGAGCAGACTGTAGTCAGTGCGGTAGTTTGAGGTGTACCTGCCAGCGGGAGGCTCTGGATGCTGTAAACAACATAGTTCAGCTGTATTGTTGATAAATAGAAAACCTGGTGGTGCTCGTTGTAAATCATGGCAAACTGGAAGAAGATAATGAGGATTGCCTACCCTCAAATGTTTGTCAGCAGTGAGCTGGAACGTCAGGAATGTTTAATACCCCATGGAGGCTGTTCTATTCCCCTCGTTCATCTCCTGAAACGTAGCCAAGCATCTGCATTTTTGGGTTTGAGAGTGTTGGAGATGCTCCCAACAAAATATTGCTTTTATGTGTCCTATGTGATTGTGGTATTCAGCTCCAAATTCTTTATGAAAATGTGAAGTTTACATTTTCTGGGTTAAACACTTGCAGGTCAATGAAATGCCTTTTATTTACAGTTGTCGCTCTTGGCTGACCTTTCCATGGTAACATGCTTCTGGTTTTGTTGCTTTTCCTATTTAGATGCTTTCGTTGGAGGGATCATTGGCCTCATTTTTGCTTATATTTGCTACAGACAACACTACCCTCCTTTGGGTAATACAGCTTGTCATAAATCTTACGTCAGCCTGCTAGATCAGAACCCTGTGAAGAAAGAAGAGAGACCTACAGCAGATAATGCTACTGGCCTGCCTCTGGAGGGAATAACTGAAGGTCCCGTATGACTTTAAGAAATGTGCAGAATGAACTTTTTTAGCCTTCTCACATTTCCTCCAAACTGGTCTCTTAACATGGTGTTTCTTATTGTGTGTGTTTTTTCTTTAGTTTCTTTCCTTTTTATAAACACAATTTAAATATTTTATTTTTAATGCCATAATATCAACATACTTTTAAACTTAAATTTTCAATTCATATTGACTTCCTGAATACCTGTTTTCAGTCTACTGCAAACAGTAGAGGGAAGGGAAATGAACATTAATAAAAACAGTCCTGTGTGGAGGATGGTTAAGAGAGTAATTTTAAGATGTGGTTGAAGATATAGTAGATCTGGAAACAGATTTTCTGAAGTACTCAGTATCTCCTAGCAAGTTCTGGTGGTCTTCAGCACTCATAGATTTTGATGGGTGGTGAGTACACACAGCACTTTTCATCAGATGTTCAGCATCTGTTGTGGCCAGACACTTCTTTATATAATTTGATAAGTTAGCATCATCCTTATGTTTATCTTGTTGCCTTCTAACATTAAAAAAAGAAAATAAATCTCCATATCCTGGTAAAACTTCATATTAATTGTCAAGTCAAGGCCATTCTGAACTACTGATGATCAAGGAGCCAAAAGGTATGAATGGTTAAGTGTTTGCAAGAGCCAAGCCTTGTGCATTAGTAGTCCCACAGGATGATTCTGACATTCAAGAAATTCCACACTGTTATCACCTTGCAATAACGTATATGTTCATGGGATGGATTAGAAACTTGGTATTGCATCATTAGCAATTTTTGAGAGCTCTTGCAAGTAATTACTGTTTAAACAAAATGAAAGAAAAGAACACCAATCGCATTCATAAGCTGAAGTCTTTAAAACAAGTTTTTTAAAAAATGCTAAAACTGTGAGGATAAAGAAACAAAATGTTTCCTGTGAATCTCGGTGTGCCATGCTCATTCTTGTGTAGTGACTCCCTGCAGCATTGGTGATCTAAAGATATGCTAAGTTTTTCATTTGTGACTTTGGGCGCAGAACCATGAATGCTTGTGGTGGTCTCCAGCACTGTAGCATATCCAGAGGAATGCTGGAGACAGTTTTCCACTAGACCCATTCCACTTTTTCAGCTCGCCATGTTCTTGAGCACGGTGTTTGCAAAGGTTGGCTTCCTACCTGCATCGAAATTCACCCGAATCAAAACACTGTTGGTATGGAGAAGATTACTAAATGTGTGACTTAATTTATTATTGGTAGGATCCTGTTCTGTTATGTATGCACTATGCAGTATACATCACATTCCTGTGAAATGATGTACCTTTGAATGGCAGAATGTCAGATTCCAGATTCTTTTTTTCCTTAGATATCCTGTGAAAATGCAGGCAAATGTGCCGGACCGCATCTTGGCAGTTGAACATTTCTTAGCCGGAGCCACTGGTTAAAGCGATCAAGATAGCGTTGATCAACGACCATTATTACGGTGCTTTAGACTGGAGGAGACTGCTGCCATAATTATAATTTATGTGTTCCTGTTGGAATATGTATTGGCCTTGTAGGCATTTTGTGACTCAAACAGCTCAGTGTCTTTATGTAAGGCTTGTCTTTTACTTTTCTCAAAGGTAAGCTTTGTAGATTTTTTTGAGAAGAGCTACTTCCTGATTGGCAACACTTGAATTTTTATAGAAAGCAAGTAAATCAGAATCCCTTTAAAAATAAATGTAATAATTGCGTACAAGAGGATGCAACCTTGCTATGTATAAACTTATATGATATTTGGAAATTACTATAAATAGGAAATGACATTAGGTAACAGAATGTAGTAGTCATGAACCCAGGAGGGTTCTGAGGAAATCAGACCTAATCTACTTGCAAAACTGCTACCAGTTTGGCTGCATCACTTAAAGGTAAGATTTTTAATGACAGTTACAGTATTCTGAGATCTAGAATAGAGACAGTTACCCAAAGATAACTGTGGATTTACTGGTGTATATATGCTGGTTCACCAAACTAGCATCATCAAAGCAAAATTATTCTGGCATTGCATTGGCACTGGAATTGACAGAACATTCCTCTAGTGCAATTGAGGTCTTATTCTAGAAATCCACACAATTTAGTGGAGGTTTAATCTTTCTATAAAGTTTTTAAACCATCCTGCAGAATTCTGTAACAGGGCTATCATTTTCTATTACTTCATATGGGAGGATTAATGAAAGCCCTCGAGTAAGGGTGTCATGTCTTTACATTGTATGGGGCTTAGCCATAGCAGGAACCCTAGTCTTCCAGGTTATATGCAAATGTTAAAAACCAAACAAACACACACACTGAAATCAGAATTAGAAGTTTAATACTGATGCATAGAGCATTTTGCATGTTTTTATAGAGATCTGGCTTATTGTCAAAAATGAGTGGGGCCTCCTAAATGTGGTGTACACATTCTCGGTATTTTAATGGCTTTTGATACAAACAAGCTATCTTCTTTGGGATGGGAAAAGCTTATACATCCCCAAAATGAGTAGTGTCTGTTCAAAGATTGGAATATGAAGTGTATTGCTGTATAAATACTTCCGTTCCAAGAGTAATTGGTGAACTTTGCAAAGCAGTAAAGAATAACTTATTTTAATGAGAATAATTAAATCGAAAGTCATAAAACAGACAATGTAAAAGCTTGGATTAAAATGTAATTAAAATTATGAAAGACTTAATGAAATGAAACTTGTGGAGGGATCTGTAAGCGCTGTAATTACCAGTGCAAAGTCAGTGTGGAGAAGGCATTTTTGTGGACCAGTGTATTTTAATCTCATGCTTTCTCAGTGTGAAGGAAATGTGATGTTGTAACGCACCAATAAAACAACACATGAATGTGGGTTTGTACATGTGTGTGTTACCTTTTTTTTTTTTGAGAAGAATAAAAGTTATGCGGTTAGTTTTGTTAATAAACTATGTGGAGTGTTAAAAAACCCAAGCCCGAACGGGACTGCATTGTTGATAAAAAACAGCAGTTCTAAGAGTCAGTACTGATACCACTAAAATGGAACAGCCTTTCTCCTTCAAACAAAATACGCTGTACAGCCTTCATCCAGGAAAAAGTACAGTGCAAGTCTGCAGGGTTGAAATTTTGAAATATTTAACCAGATAAACTGCAACAGGTCCCTTTCATTTGTCAAGTTCCATGTTTCAAATAATACTAGGAGTGCCACATTTAATAACTAATTTGGTTGGACTAGAAAAGTAGAACAAAATCTAATTGAACACAGCAGAAATATCCTGAAACCAAGAGAAGCATGGGATTGTGAACCAGTCAGCAAATGTCCCCGTGGTGAATGTGCACCTCGAGCAAGGTGTTAGGAATGGAGCTGGAGCTTTATCCTGATTCATTCCCAGATTTTGCTCTGTGTGGTTTAGTCTGATTGGCCCTCTATTCTTTCCCAGTGCAGGCAGCAAGTTTCTCTTTATTTAATATGAGAAGAGAACCTCATTTTTATTCTTTCTTTCCATGGCAAAAAAATACTGTGCTACAGATTGAGGGGGGGGAAGCCTGATTTTTGTTTTATGCTACTAAAATTCCACTGACTTCGGCTTCTGTTCCAGCTGCTCTGCATCACTAAGCACATCATATCCAGTAGCTGGAATAAAGCCTTCACACAGTTTTTGCTCATAATCTTATATTTTTAGGACTATAATTAGCAAAATATTGCAACTAATTTGTCTGCGATATTGCTTTTTGTGGTAACATGTATCTCTTCTGAGCTAGAAAACTGTTGGGTTGCTCTGACCTAACAGCAGGGGAAAAGCCTTGAACACAGCAGCATCAGGATGATGGGAGTGAAAAGGTTAGACATATCCTTCTTTTACTTTTGATGTTCAGAATGGGCTCAGAATTGCTGCAAGCCATAGGCAACAATGATTAAAAAATGTCTTTATTACTTGCTCACCTGTGTTACTGCTCACAGTGGTGCTGTACTGGCTGGGAGAAATAGAGTATGGCTCCAGTATTGAAGAGTTACGCTATCTTTGTATTAATTCATAGAAAGAAATTAGAAACCCTGCTTTTCATTACACCAGCATAAACACTGCTGTGGCGCATGGAGTTAGTTCACAATAAGACTCTTCTTATCAAAGGTAAAATTGGAGATTTTGGTCTTCTGTCACTGCAGGCTTGGGTCTTCCTTCAAGTCAACTCTCATAAACTTAAAGATCAAAAGAATCTTGGTAAGGATGATCTAGAGATTCTACTCTGCCCTAGTGAGGCCATATCTGGAGTACTGTGTCCAGTTCCTGGCTCCCCAGTTCAAGAAGGATAGGGAATTAGTGAAGAGACCCTAGTGCCCAGTGAAGGGTGATGAGGATGATCAAGGGAATGGAGCCCCTTTCTTATGAGGGAAGCTGGGAGAGCTGGGTCTGTTTGTCCTGGAAAAGACTGAGAGGGGATCTTATCAATGCTTTTAAATATCTAAAGGGCGGGTGTCAAGAGGATGGTGCCCAGCGACAAGACAAGGGGCAATGGGCACAAACTGGAATGCGGGAAATTCCATCTCAGCATGAGGAAAAACTTCTTTTGAGGGTGCCAGAGCACTGGAACAGAGAGGCAAGCCAGGCTGCACAGAGAGGGTTGTGGAGTCTCCTGCTCTGGAGACAAAGCCCACCTGGATGTGTTCCTGTCCAACCTGCTCTAGGTGAACCTGCTTTGGCAGGGAGGTTGGACTAAATGATCTCCAAAGGTCCCTTCCAACCTGCATCATTCTATGATTCTGTGATTCAGTTACCGTTTCAACTGGGCAGGAAAAAACCCCAAACAATACCATTGCCTCACCTTCAGGCTCCCTCTGTACAATGGAGAATAAAGAGGTTTATAAAGCTGCACAACTGTCTGTTCTTGGTCCTACACACCACGTAACAGATCTTTTCCTTCTTGCTAGAAAAAATGCTGAACTCTTGATATTTTTTTCCAGAAATCTCATTGATCAAAGCATCTAAGCATTGGTTCCATATATTCCAGTTGTTTACTCCTTTTCTCAATTCTTGTAGAAA